GTTACCAGCAAACTAAACCCTCAAATTAGGCCACACCCACAGAAATTTGAATCCCGCCCCTGCGTGGGGAGCATTGAGGATGAGTTTGTAGCACCAAGGGGGCGGTGGACTGAAAAAGTTTGGGAACCACTGGTATAGAGTAAAACCAAAAGCAAAATTGTATGGAAATTCCAGCTTGGTTATTCACTTTAAAGGCGTTAATCCCAATCTTTCTAACCAGGAAAAAATTATCACATATAAGGATATCATAAATGAAAAAAGGGAATTGAAATCCAGACAAGAGCTAAAAGAACAAGGGGTAGAATTAGAATGGTGGGCCTACTTACAAATTCAATCAAGATATGGGAAAGACATGAAAGAATGGGGGATTAGTAGACAAGCCACAACACTAGATACAGTTTTATTGGGGCAGACAATAAATTGATAAAGAAAATTTATAATTTTTTATTGGGCTATAAGATGAAGAACAGGTAAAAGAAACAATGGTGATATGGGCCAAAAATTTTGGATATAATATATATTTGAATAAGTGGCAAAATACAAAGATAACATTGGCCACATCGTATAAGGAAAACTTACATAAAATGTGTTATAGGTGGCACCTCCCCCCAGCAAGGCTAGTTAAAATGTGTAAAAACCTATCACCAAAATGTTGGAAATGTGCCCAAGAACATGGAACATATTACCATGCATGATGGTCTTGTAAGAAAACCCAGGAGTTTGGGCATAAAATCCAGATGTGGTTGGAGAAGATGACTAGACAGAAAATAGATTATAAACTGGAATTATTTTTACTTGGAATTATGACAGAAATATATAGTAAGGAGATTTATCTAATAGTACACATTATCATGGCAGCAAGAACCTTTACCCCAAAAATGGAAAGATTGAGAAATTCCTGATAAAGGTAAGGTGATAAAGAAGATATTGATATGTGCTGAAATGTCTGGAATTAAAAAATAAGTATGAGACAGAATACTACAAGATATGGAATAAATTTTATCAATGGTGGGAAAAGAAAGGAAGGATCCAGAATAAAAAAATAAACAGGATTTGTAGAAGTGGTAATTACAGATAAAAACTAATTGTACAAATGTATAAAATGTAATATATATACACACACGCACTCACACACATATGATAAAAAGTAATGTCAGGACGATCACACCGTGTCCAGTGTTTTCAAATTTTAATAATTTTTTTTTTAAATCAGATTTGAGTTAGTTAGCAAGCACCTGAATTTTGATGACATGACCACAGGGATGCTACAATGGTCATGTGAAAAATGGTCATAAGTCACTTGCAATGTCCAGGAGTCATTTGATCACCTTTCGTGATCTTTGGACAAACAAAGTTCAATGGGGAAGCCAGATTCACTTAACAACTGTGGCAAGAAAGGTCTTAAAATGGGGCAAAATTCACTTAACAACTGTCTTGCTTAACAACAGCAATTTTGGAGTCAGATGTGGTTATAAGTCGAGGACTACCTCTATCCTAGAGTGACCAGGGGTGGGATTCTACCGGTTCGCACCGGTTCTATAGAACTGGTTGTTAACATCACCAGTAGTTCTAAGAACTGGTAAAACCGACCCCTGGCTGCCCCCGCCCATCTCCGCCGCTCCTACGGGCCAAAACCCGGTTGTTTTTTACTGCGCATGCATGATATTTTTCACACATGCATGAAAATCCTTGCCTCATTCTCCCCCGCCCACCCCTCTGCTGGCCCTGGCCCCCGCCCCATCTGCTGCTCCTAGGCTAAAAAAAGGTGTGTTTTTTACTGCGCATACGCGACATGCCTGCAGCCTGCTTCTGCCCGTCCACAGGGCAGCCATTGCTGCCTGCCTTTCGCTGCATCATGAGCCTCTTCGTTACTCTGCCTGCTCACAGGTAAGCCTGCGAGTCACTCTAGCCCTTCCCCCATTGTCCCTGGGCCTCCCCGAGCCTCCCGCAGCTATCTCTGGGGCTCCCTGGGCCTCCCGCTGCCATCTCCGGGGGTTCCCAGCCAACCTACCTGACCCACCCATCCCTGGCCTCGGCTGGCTGGTTAAGCCACCACGTGGCACGCCACCTCTCCTTACCACATGGCTGCGGCACGGTGAGCTGCGGGCCTTGAGCAGTGTCCCCCCGGCCCTTCCAAAGTACCTCCACGTGCTTGAGCAGCCACCCCGTCCACCGCCACATGCGGAGGTCTGTTTCCTTTGGGATCGGGGTGGGGCAGGGGTGCGCTGCTGCCACACGCCGAAAGCCACCCATTTCCTTTGGGAGGATTGGGGTGGGATGGGGGCGCGCTGCACGCTGAAAGCTGGCCGTTTCCTTTGGGAGGATTGGGGTGGGGCGTGCATGCACTGCTACCGCCCAAGAGAAGCAAGCGGCAGTGGAGAGGCTCTGAAAGGGAGGGGCTGCTTGCTTTCTTCTTCTCCCGCCCGCTCATGTGTGTGTGTGTGAGAGAGAGAGAGAGAGAGATCTTTCTGTGCCTCCCCTCACTATCCAGGATCTTTCCACGCCTCCTCCACCTTGTGCCCATCCTGGGCTTCCTCCCGCCTGGCCTCCAGCTTGATAAGAGGAGAGGGAAAGGGAGGCTGGGGCTTCCCATAGCTGCGCCACCACTGCCTGCCCCCACCACTACCGCTGCCACCGCCCATGTGCTCTGAAAGGGAGGGCGGATGGATGTTCCGGGGCTGCTGCTTTCTTTGTTGTCCCACCGCTCGCTGCTCTGGAGTTCTTCCCAGACCAGGTGTGTGTGCGTGTGTATGTGTGTGTGTATGTCACGAGAAAGAGTTTAGTGTGTGTGTGTGAGAAAGACAAGGAAAGGAAGGAAGGAAGGAAGGGCAAGAAAGGCGAAGGGAGAGAATGAGAAAAAGAAAAAATAGAAAGGAAGGGAGAGAGGGAAAGAAAGAAAGAGCAAGAAAGAAACAAAAAGGGAGAAAGAAAGTGAAAGGAAGAAAGGGGATGGAAGGAAGGGACAGAAAGAAAAAGAGGGAGAGAGGGAGGGGAGAGAAAGAGAAAGGGGGGAAAGAGAGGGAGAGGGAGAGAGAAAGAGGGGGGACAGAGAGAGAGGGAAAGGGGGGGGAGAGAGGGAAAGAGAGAATCCCACCCCTGAATACTTCTGCCCCGATTGTTTTTGATTTAAAAAGTTAAAATGTTGTGGAGCAAGTCATCAGCCCTTAGCATCATCCACAAGGAAATCCTTTGGATACTATTTCAGTCACTTAAGTGTTTGTAGGAAAAACAAAATAAAATGTATAGGTGCAATTCAGAACTTTCTTTGGAAATATTTCTGTTTTGTCTAACAAAACAAAAAGGGGATGGAAGAAGGTTAATGATAGGCAAATGAGACAATTTGGTACAATGCTAGCAGTTTGGATTCTGTAGATATTTTGTGACTCCCACCCACGTAGCCATTGTAGTACAAATTGTAGTGACAGAACATATTGAGCAGTTGCATAAGTCACAGGGTTTGTGTCATGATGTTTTAATTCTTGTTTCATCACTTGCCTCATCCCCTAGTTGCTTATGCATATTATCCCTGCCATTTATGAGAATATTTATGACATGTTCTATAGCTTTGCCTGCTCTGACATAGATAAATATGTATTATTTTTGGAGTAAGGATAGGATAAATGAAATGTAAATTTAAAAGGAACTCCATTCAATATGCAAGAGTTTATTTCTGAAGGTAATGTTAGCCTATAAGAATGATATTACAAGGTACCCTGACTTGAAAAACACTATAGAGATTTTAGCGTACTCTGAAAAATATAAGTACTGGTTTATATGACTCTATAGAAAAAAATCTAATAAATTATGTGTTTGATCTTTTAGAGTAGTGATAATCAACCTGTGATAACTTTACATGTTACTCCCAGTGCCCCTCACCAGTACTCTGGTGTCCTGTTATCCTGGGAATTACAGTTTAGCAACATATGAATGCCACAGGATTGTAATTCATCTTATATTACTTTATGGTGGTGTTTTATTCAAACTATTAGATTAAAACGGTCATATAAGAATTGGAGAAAGCATACTTTTCTTTTAAAAGCTGAGTTGTTACAGAGGACAGTATCCTGGTCGTGGAACTCTTTGCTAAGTGCACATTCCTAGCATTCCTAAAGTTACTCTTACATCTTGGGCTCTGCTTTTAAGCAGAGAGGAACATTCCTTAGGACTGAAGCAGTGCAGACTCAGCTAGCCGATGGCAGGAACACAGATCTCTGAATGAATCTGTGATTCTGTGAAAAACTCAATCTGCCTGCCTGCTTTGCCTGATTTTGGGTCAAAGTTGCTCTTTTTTTATAAAAAATTCAATATTTATATAACTATAATATTTACATACAAGCCATGCCCAGCCAGTCACATGGCCACCTGCCCGTGCCTTGCCCAGCCCTCCCCGTAACTCCTCGTAGCTGCCTAGGCCTCGCCCTGCCCTCTCCAAGGCTCCCCAGGCCTTGGAAACTGGCAAAAAAACCCAGAAAACCTCAGTCACAAGACTGCGTGCGAAGTTGTAACTGGTCATAAGTGTGTGTGTGTATGTATGGCTGTCAAAACACCAAAAACAGGCCAAGTAGCTCTGGAGGTCAGTCTTAAATTAGAACACTTGCTAAGCAACTGGTCATTAAGCAAGGATCACTTACGTTTGGTTTGCCAATCACATGGCCACCTGTCCGGGCCTCGCCCTGCCCTCCCCAGGCCTTGGAAACTGGCAAAAAACACTTGCTAAGCAACTGACCACTAAGCAAGGACTGGTCATTAAACGAGGACCACTTACATTTGGTTTGCCAGTCGCATGGCCATCTGGCACGCCCACCCCAGTCACATGACCATGTAGCCATGCCCACCCCAGTCACATGACCACCTAGCCACGCCCAGTCAGTAAGCCACTCCCACTCCAGTCACATGACCACCAAGCCACACCCACAAATTAGGCCACGCTTACAGAACCAGTTGTTAAGAAATTTGAATCCCACCCCTGAGAGTGACTTCTCTTTATCCATCTCCTATAGGATGTAGGTTATCAGCATGGAAAAATGGTGTTTGGTGGTTGGTGCCGTGGTGATATAATTGCAAAAATGGTTCAGGATCGACACTCAGCAGACTTTTATGAGAGCAAACGCATGGATGTAAGTATAAAGGGAGAAACTGCCAGAACTTTTCTACTTGTAGCTTCTCCAGCTAATTAGAAAAAAAATATCTGAAGTAATAATAAAGAATCAAAATTCTAGCTATTTCCAAACAACAAAGGTTCGGGAAGTGTGGGTGTTCTTAACTAGGTATCATTTGAAGATGGTTCATGCAATAATGAATAAAAGTTGCTCAGCAATATTGTTTATTGGATCATACCAATCTTTCCTATCCAGAGTGCTCAGTTACAACAGTAACTTACCTGATCTAGGTTTACAGTGTTTCAAATTAAATTTAATGTAGTGAGACCTGATTTTCCAGATTAGTTTGAATGGTACAAGTAAATCAGTTTTCCAAATTAAGATGAATATTCAAATTGAATCAGACTTAAATTGCACAGCCAGGTTGTGGCAAGATAGCTTCAGATAATGTTGGTTATCTCTTTTCATTCCCAAGGTGTTGATGTGTCCTACTGGAGGATTCACAGATCTGGCAGAGATTATCTCTCGCATTGAGCCAGCCAAGAGCTATCTGTCCGAGGGCTATGCCGATGGTGAGTACAGTATCAGTGGTTACTGAGTTCAGTTTAGATGTGGCAGCACTGAGTTCATTCCAACTCATCAAGTGGTCCTGAGATGCCTTTCTGCTAATCCAAAGACCTAATAAGGGTAACTAATTGACTTCTGTGTATATTTGTCCCTGTGCTCCAGAATTAAATGGGAGAAATCCATTTAAACTACTGAATGGCTATTAAGAAAAGAACTGAAGGGTGGTTTCTGTATTTATGAGGAAAAAAATGTTATAAAAGTTTATCAAAGCCTGTTTTTGTCAACAACCAGGAGAAGAGTCAGATTATCTAACTGAGTATGAGGAAGAAGGAATGGATGCTGTACGAGAGGAAGAGGGACAGGAGTTGCTATTTGCTCCTGCTGAACAGAATGCTGTCTTTGAAACAGTAAGTCCCCTCTGAGCTCAAGAGGAGCCTATCCATAGAGGAGTTGGATTGACATGAGAGCCCCTATCTGGCATTCAGCCCTTGAAGATATACCTCCGTTTCCAAGGTCATGAGCAATTCTGCTTCTACATGCAAGCAGAGTGCTTCCCTCCTTGGAATATGAATATGATGTTTGTGCTTTTCTTCTTCTGCCAAGAAAGGACAGTTAGTTTAAAGGCTGAATTCCCACTAACAAGCTGACTTTTCCCTTTGGGCCACTATAGTCTAAAGCAGGGGTCGCCAACCTTTTGGACCTCAGGGACCACCAAACTCAGACTTTTAAATCCTGAGGACCACTAATATGATTTTTTTAAAAAAGATAATCTATTTAATATAAATTATTTTTTTATATTAAAATTAAATTTAATATTAAAAAATTAAATTTATGTGTATATAAATTTTTAAAAAATATAAAAATGCTTATTTAATTATAATAAAAGTGTAAGTGCTTAATCATAACTGTGGGGCAGAGCAAAGGGAAAGGAGGGGCCTCTCTCATCCTTTTGGGGGAAAGATGATTTAATACTGCTGGGATTCAAAAGAACCCACATGGTGCCTGGAGGCTGGGAAGGTCTGGACTGGGAGGAACCGGCTACACCTCAAATGGAGGTGGTCTCCTGTCATCTCATATCTCCCCCCAAGTCAGAGGAAACCTCCCTCTTCTTTGACAGGTGTGGCTGCCTGGAGTTGGGGGAGGGAAGGAGGGCCAGGCTGGAAGTGCCGAGGAAGACAGGCTCCTAATAACCAGGCAACACTTCCCCCCTTCGGCCTCCACATAAGAAGAAGACTCCCCAAGGCTAAGCTCCAGGTTTCTCCCACCGCTTCCCAGCAGAGAAGGGTCCCTCCCTGTGTGGAGGCCGAGTGGGGGGGGTGTCGAGCCCAGAAAAGCTCGAGCTCTTGCCTGCACAAACAGGCTGGTTATTAGGAGCCCATCTTCCTTGGCGCTCTTTTGGTCTGCGCATTTGGTCTCTCCCCCCATGCCAAAGGAAAGCCAGCCGGGCTCCTCCTTCCCTCCTACCCTTCCCCCACTCAATCCTACTTCGGGGCAGAGGAAAGCACACTGGAAACGTGTGTTGGCATTTCCAACACGCCTTTCTCCAGTGCTCGCACGCAATTCTTCGCGTTCCTCCAGGCCTGGCTTGCTGAGGGGGCAGAGCAGCCCTGACGTCTCTGCTGCCCATCCCCCCCAGGAAAAGAAAGCAAGCAGAAACGTAGCTCTCGCTGGGGCAAAAAAGCGGAGATCGGAAGGCACAGGCAACAGAAAGCGGCACTTTTCAAAGGCGGCAGCTTCTGTCTTCTCTTGCCTGTGCTTTCCTCGACCTCAGCTCTTTTGCCCCAGTAAGAGCTATGTTTCTGCTCGCTTTTCCTGTGCCTTCCCTGGGCAGCGATGGCTGGGGCCATGGGAGGGGGGGCAGCAGAGCAGAGCACCAAGAGGAACAAGGAAACTGATGCCAACACCCCATTCCAGACCTCTGAACTGGATGGTGAGCGCAGACTTACCCACTCTGCCCCCTCCCACCACCACCAGCTGGTATTTTTCCTGCCCCAGGCCGTCCCTACAGCCCGCGGCCATCGAGGAAGAATCCAGGCCAAAAGAGGCAAGCTGGAAGGTGCAGGAGTGCCACACAAATGCAAGTAGTGCAGCTCTCCTGCACCTTTCAGCGATCTCCATCGTCGCTTCAGCCCACCTGTGCCGCCAGCCCCCTCTTGCTGCAAGAGCACTATTACCTCGTCCTGGCCGGTGAGGGCTGCGCCGCTTTTTGCAGGTTTGTACTCAGCCGAAAGGTGGGGGCCAGCGGGTGGGCAAGCCATGTGAGCAACACAGCCTTGTGTTCCCACATAGCCTGGATTAATTGCTTTGGGGGGGACATTTCTCTGCAGCCCCCCAAAATTTTCTCATGTACCACCCTATTCCAATGGGAAGTCATTTTGCTCTGTCAAAAGAGGAAGAAGTTGGTGAGGCAACTTAAAATTAATTTGCTTGCAAATTGACCGACTATGCTACCCCTAGAGCAGAAGAAAGGTAAAAGTAATGGGATGTAAAATGCATAAATTCTAAACAGTTGCTAATTGTTTATAATATTTTACTCCAGTTTCTTGTCCCACATCCTCTTTCCTTTCACAGCATAGCATGTTATGGGGAGCTTTTGGTTTCTAGAAAACAGTTTATTTATATATTTTCAGGGAGTATTTTCTTGTGAGAAGTATGATTTTCTCATCCTGCTCTGCCATTGGAGTCTTATCAATCTGTAATCAAGGAGATGCCAGCTCCTTCCCTTCCCCCCCCCTTTTTTTAAATGTATGGCACGTGTTAGCCAGGGATCACCAAGGTGGCTGGCTGCCTCTGTGAAAGGAATTTTTTGGGGGGGGTGTTTTCTTTACCTGCGGGATACCTGAATGCCAGTAGGCAATCGGGTGAGGCTCCTTTCTTGTCCCTACACGGTTTATTCGCTCACAGGAATCGAGCTGCCGAATCGGTGCAAAGGTTCAGCGTCTTACCACGTGAGCCTCTGTGGTCCCCTTTCCCTGTGATCTTAAGCTTTCTTGGCAGTTGCAACCTAAAGGATTAGACACCTGGTTACTTGCACATCTCTTCTTCAATATGTTCAATGTTTGGTCTTAAGCATTGAACATATTGAAGAAGAGATGTGCAAGTAACCAGGTGTCTAATCCTGTGGGTTGCAACTGCCAAGAAAGCAATGGGGAAACCCAAGCCTATTACCGTATATGCCGGCGTATAAGACGACCCGGCGTATAAGACGACCCCCCAACATTTCCACTCAAAGTATAGTTTGTTATATACTCGCCCCGGCCTCCCGTTGCTCCTTTCCCTTCCCGAGGCAACGCGGGACTGGAGCCGCGCGGAGCCGCGCCAGCGGTAACAACTCCTGACAGCCCCAGCCGGATACCTCAGCGGAGCTCGGGCGGTGCGAGCCTCATTTCCTTGGGAGCTGGGAGAAGGCTGGCTGCTCCTTTCGGCTTCACGGGATTCGTTTCCACGGTGCGCAAAAGTGCCTCAGCCGCGGGCAGCCGCAGTGCTTCCCAATTACTATTTGCCGGCGTATAAGACGACCCGGCATATAAGACGACCCCCCCAATTGGAGGCATGTTTTTCAGGGCAAAAAAGTCGTCTTATACGCCGGCAAATACGGTATGTGGCAATAAGAGAATCAACCTTTTTGGATGGAATCACATAACATGCTGCAGTATATCCGTGCTACTGATAGCATATTAAGCTTTGTTCATGACTTGTTTCTCTTTTCTGTTGCAAATCAAATTTGCTAAGTTTATAGTTCCATATATTTTCTGAATTCAGAAAATGAAGCTATCTAGTTACCAGATGGAAGATTGCTGCATGAGTCTAGCCATTTCCTTAATATGGGCTGGCAGTGTCTTTAAGTGTGTTGCCCTTCCCTTAGCTCCAATAAGCTAGAGGGTTTCCTTTTGTATATAAAAAGCAATAAAGAGGTTTTCCTTTTGTACAATAAAAAACAGTCCCCCAGCCAGTTCCTGATCCTGCCGCCTCTGATAAGCACACTGAGCTGCCAACACACTGAGCTGCCAACTATAGCATGTTGTGTCCTTTGCTCATTGTCTTTTTCCCCCCATTTTTTTTAATTTTTAACAACAAACATAGACAAACACAAACCAACAAATAAAACTTCCTTTCAGTTGTACAGTGTGTCGGTTGGTACATATTTCTTGTGCACAATATCAATAGTCTTTCCCTCTTAAATTTAAATTTATATTCATATTATATTAATCAACTTTCCATGTCATATTATATTATTATACATCATCATTAGACTTTAATTGCAAATTCACATAATTCTTTTCGAGCAAACTTCAGTTTTTACAATTTCTAATTCATATTATAATTCCTTCTGTAATCAGTTATAACATATCATTACTGTTGTATTATGTTTACTATTGTATTATATTTATATTATACTATATTTCATTTTCCTACTTTTCTTTCTAACCATTGATAAAATAAATCCCATATTTTATAATATTATTTTTCTTCTTGCTCTCTAATTGCCAATGTCAATCTTCTCATCTCTGCACATTCCATTATTTTCTTTATCACTACCTCTTTTATTGGAATTTTTTCGTTTTTCCAGTTTTGAGCAAATACAATTCTAGCTGCTGTCAAAACACTAACAATCAAATATATCAATTTTCTACTGTTTCCTTCAGGTAAGATACCCAATAAAAATATCTCTGGTTTCGCGTCTATATGCTGTTTTGTCATTTTTTTCCAACCATGTATGAATTTTAGTCCAGTATCTTTTGGCTTCCACAGACGTTCACCATATATGCAGGGGTGGGATGCTACCAGTCCGGCCCAGTTCTATAGAACCGGTAGCTGCGAAGAGCAGCTGACACTGAACCAGTTCAGTGTTTGGCCCACCCACCTGCCCGGGCTCCAGGCTGTCCTTTATTCCCTACTTTTCCCTCCTCGGCTGCTTTGAGCAGCACATCTGAGGTTGAAAAACCAGGAAACGAGGATTTTCAAATGCCGAGCACCTATGGGCAGCACTTGTCAGCTGTCCAGGCGGCACAGCTGATGATTTCTTGCAAACGCTGCACACCCTCGTAGTTTGGAGAACCGGCAAATCGCTCCACTGGCTGGCCCCGCCTCTCCCTGCCCAATCACTCCTTACCTGGCATGAGAGCCATCCAACTTGCCTGGTTTGGTGTTGCTATTTTTCCTTTTTTTTTTTCCAACCACCAGCTGTTCTGCTCTGTTGGGAGATTTAGATTAGCTAGAAAGCAGGAAATCCTTGGATTTCTTGCTTTCTAGCTAATCTAAAAACAGCTGAATCTTCCTTAGGACTGAAACTTCTACTTCTCAGTGCAGTAAGACTCAGGTAGCCAATTGGAGACGGATAGATCTCTAAGCAATTCTGTGAGCAACTCAATCTGCCTGCCTGCTTTGCCTGCTTTTGGGTAAAAAT